ATATAGGACAAAATAATTCAAAATAATCCCAGCCAACGAACTTCTACATTTATATACTAATTGCAAATCCAATATTTACTATACTATAGGTCAGGATTCTGTGGACTTTAAAACTTATATTATTACCACCTTATTACATAATACATAGGTGAGCAGATTTTTGAAAAATATATTTTTTTTTTATTATTGTAGTGGAAATTCTCCTCGTGACCATCTCCCCCTTACGGTTGGTATCTAGTGTGGGGCTCATAGCTCGCTTTGTTTAGAGCACATATCCACTAAAAACAGCACATAGATCCTATTGTTTCACCCTGAAATAGCCTGTAATTACAACTGTTGCACCAAGAATTTATTTCTTTTGCAATCTGAATAGAAATAAACCTAAAAGTAGAAAACAACCCTCATTTCAGAATAAAAAATCTTAAGTTTAGAATTCGATGTTATTCTCTTTATCAATTTTTGAGTCATCCTGGATGCAGACAGACAATATCGCAAAAATGATCAAAACTGGAACAATATTTTTATTGGGAGCTTTATTGCTGCTGTTCTTGAAGTTAATCATATTTCTGCAATTTAACAAATGTCTGATATGGGTACTTTAATAAATAATTATTTTTGGATTTAGTTTTTATTTGACTATTTAATAAATTAACAAAAATATATGTTATCCAAATAATATATCCATTAACCCAAATAAGATAAGATCATTTTATTAATACCTTGTTTTTAGTAAAGATATTCATCTCTTTTTACATCAAGTTTCCAAGTACCTAGACTAAAAAATTTTTCATAAAAAATGGGTCCTAGACATAGAATAATAGTTATAAAACTATACATTTTCATTAAAAAACTTCCATGAATTTTAATAAACAAAAATTATCACTCTTCTAGAATGAAAAAGGAGAGAATGTAAAAACCACGCCAAAATTGATAACATATTTAGCGAGCATGCGCATTATGTGGAGCTACCAGTGGCATTTAGCATCTCGTGCCTAGACCAATGAACTGGAGTGGGGTAGAAAGCCAATGTGCATATTGTATCAATAGAACAAGATGCGACTCTATGGGCGCAGCCATTTTTAATTATCATCTCACTCGGGAGTATTTATAGTAACCATTTTCTGTTTCACATTGTTATTGTTCAATCCACAAGCTGGTGGATTAGACAATAACAAAGTGAAATAGAAAATGGTTGTTATAAATACTCCCGAGTGAGATGAAAAATAACCTGTCTTTGCCCATAGAGTCGCATCTCAAGTCTATTGACAAGCATTCTACCCCACTCCAGTTCATTGGCCTAGACCGGTTGCTAGTGATGAGGATCAAGAGGCGGGATCATCAACAAAATCCACAATAACTAACAGAAGAAAAAAAAATTAAATCAGTCTTTAGCAGCAAAAAAAAAACAGAAACCAGCCCCACAGAAAAAAAATCTGATGTGTCCAACACATGACTTTCCTATCTAGTTATTACAGGCTTTTTCCGTTTATTGTGTACAACCTATTGCAGCATCTCTATAAATGTTTAGAGGATAAACTAAATATATACATTGTCCACATACATCTACCGCGAAACATTTTTCTATAGATATTCATTGAAAATGAAAATACTGAAAAATTTAAATTTAGCACTTTTCCTACAATTTTTCCATTACGGTCCATCTAAAAAAAATCATGTATGAACAAATATTATAGAGATCGATATCGCAAACAACTTTTATTTCAACAATTTTCATAAAAATCAGAATTTTGCACATTTTGTCAAATTTCTCGAATACGGACCATTTCAGGAAATTTTTACATAAGGCAAAAATTATAGATAATAATATTTGAAGTAACTTTTAATTGAACAATTTTCTTCTCCAAACATAAATAACAGATATATTCCATAAAATATAAAAACGGCCTTCTATAAAGTACCCCCCCAGATGTTCCGACTTTGTCCAAAATCTAATCATTTCACGTCAGGCCGAAATAAACCTTAAGTTTAAAATTTAATGTTTTTTTCTTTATCCGTTTTTGAGTTATCTTCAAAATTCGAAATTTACACATTTTCTCAAATATCTCGAATACGGTCCATTTTAAAGAAATTATGTATAGAATAAAAATTATAGAGAATTATATTACAAACAACTTTTATTTGAACAATTTTTATAAAAAATTATTTTTTTTACATTTTCTCAAATTTCTCGAATACGGACCATTTTAGGAAAATTTTGCATAAAACAAAAATTATAGATAATTATATTAGAAGTAACTTTTATTGAAAGAATTTTCTTCTCCAAACGTAAATAACAGATATATTCCATAAAATATAAAAATGACCACCTATAAAGTACCCCCCCAGATGTTCCGACTCTGCCCAACATCTAATCAGCTCATTGGACGCTGAAACAAAGCTTAAGTTTAAGATTTGGTGTTTTTTTTGTGTATCGGTTCATGAGTTATGCGTTATACAGACACACACACACACACACACACACACACACACACACACACACACACACACACACACACACACACACACACACACACACACACACACACACACACACACACACACACACACACACACACACACACACACACACACACACACACACACACACACACACACACACACACACACACACACACACACACACACACACACACACACACACACACACACACACACACACACACACACACACACACACACACACACACACACACACACACACACACACACACACACACACACACACACACACACACACACACACACACACACACACACACACACACACACACACACACACACACACACACACACACACACACACACACACACATGCACGCACGCACGCACGCACACACACACACACACACACACACACAGACACACACACAGACAGACAGACATCATCGCGAAAATAGTCAAAACGGATTCAGGGGACCTCAAAACGTAAAAATCCGTCGAAAACTCGAGGTCGAAAAAAATCATGATTCCTATACTTTCCTTATATCTGTATACAGATAGGAAAGTAAAAATAAACCCGTCACACAGAAAAAAAAAATAAAACAGCCGCAAAAAAATAAATAAAATGGGAAAACATTTTCCGAGTTATTCTAACAGTACGACATCTAAAGATAAATCTTCAAACGTTCTCGAAATACTTGAAGGATATTCTGTAGTTCAAATATTTGAATGTTTTCTGAAGATATATTTCAGCTTATAATTAAACAAAGTGAAATGTTCCTATGCACAACAGAAAAATACGGTAAATTTCACTTTGAGATTAGAAGAGTTAAAGAAATTTTTTGGTATTTTATTGCTATCTGGCTACCATAAATTTCCTCAAGAAGATATGTATTGGGAGCAAGCACCTGATGCTGGTGTGGAGATTGTATACGATTCAATGACAAGAAGGAGATTGGAAATGGTAAATTTTTCAAACTTCGCCAATATTTTGATATTCTAAAAGCGAATTTTATAAAATTTGATATATTCCACGGCAAATTATCTTTAGATGAAATGATGGTTCGTTACTACGGAAGACATTCTACCAAAATGTATATTCATGGAAAGCCAATAAAATTTGGCTATAAAATTTGGTGCTTATGTAGTTCAAATTGATATATTTTTAATTTTGATCCTTACAGCGGTAAATCAGACAATCCAAATGAAGATATGCTAGGCTCCAGAGTAGTGAAAAATTTAATAAAGGTAATTCCAGTCAACGCTATGGAAGATCACGAAATATTCTTTGATAACTTTTTCACTGGGCATGAACTTCTAAAGGATCTAAAAGGCATAAAATTAAAAGCAAGTGGATACGTGAAACCGAATAAAGCAATGTCCCCTTATGTCGTGCAAGGAAATGAAAAAGAAAAAAAAAAGATGATATTTCGAGAAAAAATTTGACAAAGTTAATGAAATATTTGTGGTTTGTTGGAATGACAACAAACCTGTGACCATGGCTTCCAATTATAGCGATGTTTTACCACTGGGAAATGCAAAGCGGTTTTCAAGAAAAGAACCAACAAATTTCTGTTCCGATACCCCGTTTTTTTTAGCGAATACAATAAATATATGGGAGGAGTCGACCTATTAGATAAACAAATTTCATTACATAGAACCAGAATTCGGTCAAAAAAATGGTGGTGGCCATTATTCACTCAATTTTTGGATATATGCGTAGTAAATACTTAGAGATTTTACCAAATTTCTCACCAAGATCAACCAATTTCCGTTCTAGATATGAGAAGAAAAATTGTTCTTGTTTATTTGTGGAAAACAAAGTCTACTCACACAAGACCAGGACCTCAAAAATCAAAAATTGTTGGTGGAAAAGTAAGCCTCGAAGTGCGTTTTGATCAAAGCAATCATCTAATAAAACCTATAGAAACACAAAGAAGATGTGCAGCTTGCCAGCTTGTGGAAAAAAAACTACAAAAATTTGTACTAGATGTGACGCACTGCATGATAAATGTTTTGAAAATGTTCATACACAATAAGTTTTTTGTAATATTTGTCTACTACAAATGGATTGAATAAATAAGCCTGTTCCTCTGTTATACCAATAGTTATTTCTTGCTAACGTCCCAATAATGGTCAATTTTTTTATACATACATATAAATTTAAAAAAAATGTCCAAAATACATTTAATTAAATTATATTTAAAACTTCTAAATATTTTTCTGTTTCATTTTCCTGTTTTTTGAATTATGGCGGGCAATGGGTAAATTTTTTAAAAAAATTTGTATTTTATTAGTTAGTGGAGTTTATTTTTTTATTTTGGGACTATATTCCAATTTTAAAGTTTTTATAATATCGGTAGTTTGATTTTTTGAAAGATAAGTTACAAAACAACAAAGGTCGTGGGATGTTTTTAATTTATAGCCGAATTTGTTTATAAATACCTTATTTACGCAGAACCTTTCAAATTATTGACTAGTCTATAAATATATTAGATTAATTAATATTCCAAAATATCTAACGAAGTGTAAAACTCAGACGGGATTCCAAATAGGTATATATAAATGGATGCACCAGTATGTGCGTAGATCCATATTAAAATTTTAAACATTAGCAAATAGACTCTAAAAGTTACATGCTGCAAGTGTAATTTTGGTAACATTATGGTAAGTAAAAAAGTAAAAAGTATTTTTCATTCAAAAAACTACATTTAATGAGACGTGGCAGACATTGTTTAAATAAAATCAGAAAATTTATCTCGAACAATAAAATGAAATACTTTTATTTCATTACTTTCTAGTAAATCTGCTCAATGGCCTACCCCGAAAATGTATCTAGGGGAGGCACGCCTTAAACTGTACTTAATTACTGAGCTAGCGCTTTTAACATAAAATGATTTGTTTGTATAAAAAATTCAATTCAATTTTTATTCGAACAGTATTTAAAAAAAAAACTAAACAAAATACTTTAAAAATAAATATTCCTTAAACAGAATAGTTTTATTAGTATTTTAAAATATGAATATGTCTTTATGAATAAATTATGATAAGTTGTAAAAAGTTGTGTATTTAAAAGTTTAACATGATACAGCTTGTCACAAAATGTGATTTTTAAGAAAATCCTAATGACTGAGTTTTTCTGCAGTAATAAAAGCAAAAAAAAAACAAAAACAATTATTATAGCAAAATTATCAAAAATTAATAAATATTTTTTTATTATTATTAATATTATTATTAGATCGTTTGATTTAAGCCATGAAGTTACTCTGAGATAAAAAATACAATCTGTTCTAATCAAAATAAGAAAGGGAAAAGTGGCGAATTGTACTGAAAATTATATTTTTTATATAAAAATTTGTATATTAGGTAAATATTGATGCTGTAGTGAATTGCTTTAAATATTTTATTTCATTTTTAGATTTATTTGGTAATACTGTATTCAACCCTAGCATATTTATAGAAAACATTACAGGATTGCCAAGCAATTCATTTTTTATGAAATTGGAAAATGATGTAAACCCAAAATTAAATTATTACAATTAGGTTTACATTGATTTCGAAATTGTTTGAAATTCAGAATTATAAGATACTGGGTAACGAATAGTGGTGATATAACTGGTTTTGAAACATATCTTAAATATGGCTAATTTTAAGTTCAATTTGCTCAATATTTCAAATACAACACCCTGTATATTATTTTAGTACAAAATTGTTTATACATTTTTTCATCCAACGATACCAACACGTTAGCCAATAATACATATACAGGGTGTCCTATCAGTTCGTAATATGAAGACTAGAGAGAAGGAGGCGAATCGGCAATGGTTAAATTTCAAATGTCCGTCCTTCTTTTTATAAAGTTCGCGAAATTGACTGTAGTTGGCATGTCGAATAACAGCGGTGTCAATTTTCTATGTAAGTCAATGTAAAATACAGTTATTTTTTAAAAAATTGGTGAAAAGAAGCAGAATAATGCAAAAAAAGTACCTGAGTACAAGTAACATGAAAGACAAAAAACATCAAAGCAAGATTTATACGTCGTTCCAGATTATAAAACAGGATACAAATCAAATGTAATACAAGGAGAAATCAATTCAATGTCAATAATATTTATTGTAAACTAGTCACAATATGTATCTTAGGTAGTGTAGTTTATTTTATTACGTTTCTATAATATAAAATTTTACAGTCATAGATCCTGACTTACAAACAACAATAATTATACATTAAATTTAACTTACTAAAAAAGAAAATTTATTTTTTATAGAGTTTTAATTATTGGATAAAGAGTTGCTACTGTTATTTTTTTGTTGAACCCCAATTGTGTCATTGTAAATGTTTGGTAGTGTTAGCAAAATAAAAAGGGGAAAGCTGAAATTAAAGGATGAGGTAATACCATGTACATTCCCAAATCTCCCTTTATACTTGTATTACAACAATAAAAAATCTGTCAACTGTGTTTTATTTTGCTCTTAAAACTATATATACCGGGTGTTCAACTTAAAGCGTTACAGCTATATACCGCTTTTTATAAAAAAAACGTTTCAGACGAAAGTTTTATAGTTTTGTGGGGAAAAACTTTTGGCTAAAATAATTTTTTATAGCTAACCATAATATGGCCAACTTTTTTTTCGCGCAGCAACATTTTCAAGTAGCTGTTACTCAAAAAGTAAAAGTCCAATAAAAAAAATATTTCCCTCAAAAGTTTCTTATTTTTTTATGTACTTTAAGAATATGTAAGAAAAAAATGGGATTCCCATTTAAAAAAACAAAGTCCACCTCGATATGGCCATATTATCGCCCACTACAAAAAAATGAATTTAGCCAAAATATTTTTCCCAAAAAACTATAAAACTTTTGACTGTAACACTTTAAAATGAACACCCGGTATATAGGTTGAATTCAAAAAAATGTTGCTACAAAATTGTACTTCAAATTTTAGCATTTAACAAACCTTTTCGAATTTGGTCATACCTACCTAATTTGTATTTTATATAGATAAAATTAAATAATTTATCAATTAAAACATACAAGACTTATTTAGAAATAAATACAACAGTATGATTCTGTGCTTTATTTAGCTATAAACAAGTTTAATTTTATTATTTTAACAAAATTATGTATAATTCCTATAAAGCCATGTATTTTGAACACCGTATGCAGTACCAGCGCCCATGCGGTTAATTATAAAAGTTCAATTAGCGTGCGTTTTTTGGTACCGTGTTTTGAGTATGGCGATTCGCCTCCTTATCTCTAGTCTTCATAGTTTGTAATTGATCGATAGCTGTTTTATTATTACAAATACGAAAACAAAATTAATATGAAAGTATGACCATATTTAACAATTATTCTAAAATATACAGGGTGGTCTATAAACGAGGTGCTGACTAAACCTACTTTTTTAAAGCAAAACACACATGCAGGTAGTTATACATATTTGATTGTTTTCACTTCTTCAAATAATTTCTTTTTTCTACGACCACTTAGGAAAGGGACACATATCACAACTATACAGCCCTATATCACACGCGTATGAATAAGAATTTAATTTCCACCCGTATACGAATATGCTACTTTCCGCAGCAGCTGTCACAAAATGTCAAACACATCATTTCTATTTTGATCTATGTAATGTCCATATTAATACTAAAATCGATATGATTGTTAAATATTTGAAATTGTTGTAAATTAGATCCTAGATATTTATCTTTAACAATTATTATTTAAATAATTTTAAAATAACTAAGATATGTTTGCTTTTTATTCTGGTTAAACACATAACCGATTAGATCATTCAATTGACGCAAGGCCTATTAGCTCAGATGGTTAGATTGTCGAACTTATCATCTTTGCCATTTGAGACCTGGCGAGCGACCGCGTTCAAATCCTGGCGGGGGCCAGAATTTTTTTTTGTTTTTTTATTTTTTTTGTTTTTTTAATTTTTTTTGTTTAGAAAATATGAAAATTGAATAAATACGATTATTGTTGATTATTTTTTTAAATACATTTTAATTATTATAATAATAACCTGGTTTTACATTTTTTGATGAAATTATTTTGTGGTCGTAGGAAAAATATTGTACATCACTTGTATAAAAAGTGATTCTCCACACTCGTGTGATAGTCGCACTTTCCTCACTCGTAATGTAATATACTATATCAATTATTTGCGTGGATTGTCATTAAATTTAGAATTATAATCATTTATTTTTATTAATTATTTTTAATCAATAAATATTTAATGAAATATGTTTTATTTTTTATTTTGTATACACCCCAAATGATAAAAATACACAAAAATATACTATCTAAATTTTTAAGATACAGAAAAAGATATTAATAAAACTTGTTTATAATTACGTTGAACGGTAAAATGCAGACAAAAAATAATACAGTATAGGTAAATTTAATATAAACAATTTCGGAAATTATAAACCTCAATCAACATTCCCCTACGAAATAACACAATTCATTCTCGAACCCCTATGGCGAAAAACAAATAGTTGAAAAATTAAAAAAAGCTTGCCAGTAATCAGTTTAAAAAAAATAGAATAAAAATTAAAAAATAATAGATTTCTACGATCACTATCCAAAGTAAGCTTTTGCATATTTGCAAATGTAACTGGAAAGTTGACGTTTTCCATGAATTGTCATGGTTTGACATTATTGCCGCATATAGGCGGAAAGTTACTTTTTACACACGCCTAATTTCATTAGAAAATTTTATTAGAAAGGTTTTTATTATAAAGCTAATCCGTATTTTAAATGAAAATGTAGACTAATCTGAATCTTTTAGTTGAACATTTAATACTCAAACTCATTTTCCTTAATATTGAAATGATAATTAAAATATTAAAAATAAATTACTCCGTTTTTAACCCTCTTGTTGGTTTAGAGCGTAGCGTGTTGGTCTTTCAACCTAAAGGTCGTGAGTTTCAATCCTCATCGGTTAATTTTTTTAATTTTAAATTGATTTTTTTATTTGTAAAATTAAAACTTTTAAAACTGTGGATAAGCCATCAATTTGCGATTAAGAGTATTCTAACCGATCTTGAAAGTTATTTTTTAGATGTACTTACTAACAAATATTGTTCATGCTAATCATGAAATTAATCTTCAAGTAAGCAGGCAACACAATATACACACAACATACTTTTTGTTTGCTAGTCAAGTTAGCCGTGTTTGTCAAATTATCGTTGTAAGATTTGAATTCGGCAAAATAAGACTATATGTGCTATATACTAATATCGTGTGATCGTAGAAAAAATCTTGTGTGCAATTCGAGCGGAAAGCTAATTGCGGGGGAGCATTTGACCGAGGCGCAATTGTCGGGTAACCAGTAATAACTAAATGTGATTAGTAAATTTGGTTATAATAAAATTATAGATCGAACGAGGGCTCTTAAATCATATTTTTGCCAAAGTAAAAAGTGGGCATTAGAACACGTAATACCTTTATTAATAAAAACTAGCATTACAGATCATTATTCCACAGCATTACAGTTAATTCCCAATCTTAATAATAACAAAAATATCTCTAATCGCCTACAACTTATTAAACCACATATTACCAAATTATGAAAAATTAAAAATCCAATTTCACCAGATTTCTTGGAATAATCTCTTTGAAATCAGTGAACCTATAACAACAAAAATTCTTTGACATTATATCACACGTAAATCAGTGTACAAAAACCGTAAAGATATATAGAAAAAATCAAAAATTATTGCACCCTGGCATTGGCGTTGCTAAAGAAGGGCCAGGGGGGCCTGGTCCCCTTGATGTACCTTTGGCCCCCTGAAAGATTTAAATAAAAAACTGCTTATCAAAAAAACGTAGTAGGTGAATTTACTTATATTTATTATTTATTCAGTTTAATTTTCAATAAATTGGAAGAGCTTAATCTTAGCGACGGACACTGGGGCAAGAAGCCCTCCAATTTGGCAATAAATAAAAAAATTAAATAGCATATACACTCTACCTCATATTTTTTTCTTATATATTACTGTCCACTACATAATAAAACGAACAAGTGCGATCTTATGCCTCACGCGTTTCATCACCACCCTCAGTCGAAGTTACTTATCTGAGGCGAGTATAATATTCATTGTTATTTCGTAGTTTTTAACTTGTTTTTGTGCTGTGTTTAGGATGTATTTTGATTTTTTTTTTCAAATTTCCGCCATCGACCCTTTAAGTTCAGCTATGTATTATTATTTTAATAAGTAAAAAGTTGTAGAAAAATAAACGTATTCTTATAATATTGTGGTTAAGTAAAATGAAGGTTAAACGTTAAAATTTTAAAATATTCTTAAATACATGAAGGCTATTTGTTGTGTTCCAAAGCAGTCCAAGCTTTAAATTTTGACTTTTCGTATTGAATATTGTTTGTACTTTTCGAAATCGTTTAGTTTCTGTGCACTTATTTGCACTTTTCTTCACTATTTGGGGTTTTTCAAAGTATATAAATATATGGCGGGACGATCATCAAAAACGAATTCTGTCTTTTTTAATATATTTCGTTTATTAATAAATCGATTTTATTGTCCTTATGCTCATTTTATAGGCAACTAAATATGCTTCCAGACAGCCATAACAAAATGCCAGAAATGTAAAATTTAAGATGGCCGACCTAATTGAAGAAAAAAACGAGCCTAAAAGTAACCCATTTTAAGCTCGTTTTGCGTAATAATTATAAATTAAATATAAAATCTAATAACAAAAGTTAAATATCTAACCTATTTTCTTTATTTTAAGACCTCTCCGAGCACGATTGGTCCATTCAATCGTAAGATATAGACAATCAAAGTTGTCTGGTTTTATGTTTTCATAGAAGCTTATAATAACACATCATTATGCTTTGCAACGCTGCTATTTTAGTTTTTGACTGATTTGGACTCAATGGGTCTGATTTCGTAGGTATGTAAATATACTTTCCGACCATTAAATTAAAATGGCGAAAATTTTAAATTCCAGGATGGCGAACCTAATTGAAATATGAGTCGATTTAGAGCTAGTTTATTTTTGGTAGATCTGGGAGCATAGTTAGTTATCTATAACAGGAGCCTAAGAACAGTAAAATCGGTTTATTATTTAAAAAATGAAAATAAAAACAAAATACAGTTTTTTATAGCCCACCTGGTATAAATAAAACATAACAGTGTTTCGCACATAACAATTTAATTTATTTTTTATTTTATTTCAGGAACGAGGTTGAACACTATGTTTTTATCGAGAAAGAAACTTCTTAATATCATGAGAAGTTCTGGAAAGAATGAAATTAATAGAATTTGCTCACAACACCGCTAGATACTTTTTTGAAAAGTACCCACGGTCAATATGCCTCCGACATTGCACAAATACTTTATACATGGGCCTGAAATAATATCTTCTGCTTTGTTGCCTATAGACCAATTAACAGAGAAAACTAATGAGGACGTCTTTAATTCGTTTTTACTTAGTTTCGACCTTGTAATCACGAGCAAACGAAAATTACAAAAGAAAGAACCCGCAGCACTTTCCTAAAGAAGCAGTAGATTTGTTTAAATCTGGACTCGTCCAGCTTCATAGCCATGGTATATTCATGACACTGATGATGACCGTGGAGACGATGAAGAAAATGTCTTATCACATTCTAAAGAGGATGAAATTTGATTACTATTATCATAGCTTTTCTATTGAAATTATTATAATATTACATTTTTATTATCTGTATCTTTAACGTGTGGAGGGTGGATTACCCCCGCGGCACTTAGGCCTCATTAGGTCCATGATATTTTTATTATAATATATGTTAGTATTATAAAAGAAAATACATAGAGGGCTTAATAGAATATACATTTTTATTATATTATATTATTAATAACTTTTTATTTTTTTTTTAGCAAACAAACACTTGGGCCCTCTATGTATTTTCATTTGTAATACTAACACCTCTACAAAGCAATATTTAACTTACAAATTCATAAAGAGAGTCTGTGATTTATTGCAAACTTTGATTGCTTGTTGCCCCAGTGTGCGACGGTAGGTCAAGCCTATGACGGAGCTGCGGTGATATCGGTAATATAAGTGATTTCCAAGCAAAAATGCTAGACAAATATCCAGCTACAATTTACACGCACTGCTTAGCTCATGTAAAAATGTTCTATCAATATCGACATTTTTTTATACTTTGAAAGCTCTGCTCGCGCGTTAAATTATCTCGATTGTTAATCGCCCTTATTAATACACTTGTTCGTTAAATAACCATTAAAATATTAATATATTAATGATGACGTATATAGTGTACCCCAATGCACTATAGGGTTTGCTCTCCTATTCAATTTGAAAAAATTATTTTTGATACGTTTTTCTATGTACTAAATTTTTACCTTTGATTTTTAGATGAGCCTTCAAACTTTAATATTTCTCATTCTTTTCAACTTCTATTGTATACAATCTACTCCCTATTTTTCATATTTACATGATAAAAGAACAGACAGACCGAGAAAATATTGTGGCTTGCATTTGAGAACGACTATGTCAATTGTTTGTAATGGCATCTATGTAGAGAAAAGAACACGTAAGTATATTAATATTTTTTAGAATTCTTTTTTCATTGTATTATCAAAAATTTTTTTCTTCTTTTTCTTTTTCTTTTTCTTTCAGACACGTCGTTTGGTATTTTTACAAAAAACAAAAACTTTTTATACAGGGTGTGTTATAAACAGTATTACTTATTAGTTTTTAAGTGTGTTTTAACGAATTTCTGTAATGTTAATTTTTGCAATTAATCTGAAAACATTTAAGATTTCGGAAACGGTTAGGCATAGGACATAGTACATAAAATATGTCTAGAATTTTCTTGAAATTGAAAAAAATACAGAGTGTTGCATTTAAAATAAGAAAGTTGGTATTGGCCACTGTTACATGACACACCCTGTATAAAAAGTTTTTGTTAAAAAAATGCGCAACTAAAAATATCAATTAATGTGTCCGAGCGTTTTTCCGAACACGCGCCCATTTATTTATTACCGAATTTATTCCTGTTCCACAGTGTATGCAGTTTTCCTTTTAGTTTATTTTTTAAATCCTTGTTTTAGTAAACGATTTATTTGATTATGAAAATCAAATTGACAACGACATGAATACTGATGAAATTAATAATATTTACCCATTCATGTATAAGGCATCTAGTCTCTCTCTTTTACCCAAGAAAAGAGAACCCAGTAGTGGAATAAATGAGGAGTGTTGCGAAAAACCATGTACAAAATCATTCATGAAAGAAAACTATTGTGGTTAAACGAAATGGGTAAGAATTGAAGATATTTTAAATATTGATCTTTGATTGAAAAGAAATAAAAACGTTCTGTGGAAAAATGTTGTTTTTGTTTTATGCTAAAAATGTAAAATATTGCTTCAGTGCCTGAGGTAATGGTAATAGAGACTTTTTTTAATAAGTAACAGTAAAGATACTTTTTATTTTATGGAATCATTTTTTCAGTTTAAACATCGAGCATTAAGTACAAATATAAGACTGATCCATAAAAAAATGTTTCTAAATGAGGACAGGGATAAATTATTCTTCTTTTTTAAAAGAGAGTTTGGATTTAACTCCCAGGCGCACGTAATTATTACAGCATGACTCGTATCTCTGTTTTGGTCGGTCACAGCTAACTTTGCATTTTTTGAGGATCGCTCGTTTTTAATTTCAGGATAGTGTTCTCTACATACAGTTTGCTGCAAATGAAAAGAACAAATTTATTATTTCGTAACTCGTTGAGGTCTGGAAAAAAATTTTGAAAGCCGTCGATTTTTATTTTCGAACGAGCGATATGTCATATTCCTGTTATTCGTGACGTCATTTGTGTGAGCGTGATGAAGTCATCAATTTTTTTTATAGAAATGTGGTTATTTTTTCAGTGATAATTTCGCAAAATCGTCTTCCTCAATCTCCTGAACTAAAGTAACTTTGAAAATTCGGAAACAAATCTGAAAAATCCCCCTACGAATTATTAAGACCCCAGCTAGCACATAACGTTGCCAAGCCTTTCGGCGATGTTGTTTTAAGGGAACGTAATAACATTACTATACAACGTAAATGCAACGTTCATGAGAAGTTGTTGAGGGAAATCAAAATCTCACAAAACTTCTATTTGTTACTTACGTATTTAACCTACCCGTTATGATAACACAACGTAATGAAGTAATTTGCTAAAAAAGTATCCACGAGAAGTACTGTGAACATCATATTGTTTTCGAACGTCACTTGTCACTTGTCACTTTTTCTTGTGGTACGTTTATTTGAGATTTTAAAGAATTTGTAAACTATTTATACGTTTGAATAAGTTTGGTAAGTTCTTTTCTTCTTTTCAATAAAATAGAAACGTATTTTCTAATTTATTGTCTGTTGTTTTAGATTGCAATATTTCAGTTTCCAACTACAATAAAAAATAAATCATTGTAAAGAGAAGATACAATTATATGACTGCCTATATTTTACACGATACTATAGAAGTAACGATATTAAACAATGATACTATTCTTTATTATTACAATAATAACAGGATTCGTTACAACAATAAACAAATTATAAATTAATCACAGGTAAATAAGTTAACACTTAGGTGTATCGATATTTAGGCATTGATACTGAAATAACAATACTATCGCCGTATCGATACTTAGAAGCAAGTATCGTATCGATATGTGTGTGAGTGTGGTCAGGGTCACCTAGGATAATATATAAGGTTTGTTTAAACATGCGTGAAAACCGTAATATTACGGTACAAATCATGCCCTCAAAAATTGCCTACAGCGCATGATTTGTACTGAAATAGTATAGTTTTCGCATGTGGTGGAACTTGGAACAGACCTTAATATGATTAAGCGTTACCACTGTTTTTTGTAATTAAATTATAAGTAAAATTTCCAGTTATTGACACTATGACTTATACCAGTACCAGGTAGAGTACCAGTAGAGAAGGAAAGGGTGTCATTAACAACTGTCAACTACAGAATATACTTTATTGATGCAACTGTTGTTTTTAGTTAAATTCCCCACTTCTCCCTGTTGAATAGTGGTTGTCCATTGTTGGCCGTTTAAAAAAATCCTTTACTTGTTCGATATTTATAACTTATAAATATTGATATCTTTAACATAATATCGAACAGTATTGATGCATCTACCACAAAGTATCCCACATGATATCGGTATCGATACCTTCTACTGATACTCATAAACCCTACTCCCAACTATAAAAATACAAAAATAGAGAAGTCATATACTGCCATCCTAGCAAGAAAGGTCTTTTTTTGTGTCATCGGCTCAACTACCAGGATTATTTCGCCTCGTGTTCTGTGTAGGCTTTGTTACTGTTTCTCAGCGCCACTTTAGGAACAGCACTGTTAATTAGAACCCAACAGTGAATGGTCGAGTGGGGAATCCTACCAAGGCATCAGAATTAATTTTAAATAATTAAATTAAATGAAAAAATTCCGGCCAACGGTGGGATTCGAACCCGGGACCCTTGGATCCACAGGCAGAGACTCTACCACTGAGCCAGCCACCCCGTAAGAAAGGTCTTATCTGAAAAATTGTTGTTTCGAAATAATCGAGTTTTTAACTATTTTTAGCAAACATATTTATTACCTTTTAAACCTTTTTTGTGTAACTTTTTAACATTTTAGTACATTTACGATGCAAATAGGACATTCCGTTTCGGTATCAAGAAAGATAAAATGTTGACAAATGCACATAAATAAAAAAAATTGCAGATAGAACCTTTGTTGCTAGAACGGCAGTGTAGATGTGCTCATGTAGTTCACTAAAGATGAATAACATGGTAATTTGTTACGTTTCAGTAAATTAAGTATTACCATTGCTGGACAGTAGTGGCGTTTTGATGGATATATACAGCATTTCACTGGACATATACCTATACCGTTTTGCTGCACGTTTGCTGCACAATATCAAATGCTGGACAAACTTTAAAAATGCTGTACAATAAAGCAAAATTCTGTAACTATGGTCGCCCTAGTGTAATGGTATTTATATAAAAATATATTTTAAAAATATTATTGTGTAGGTTTCCTTTGTGCTGGATTAAAATTCTAGTAAAAATTTCAGGAATTTTAGAAGCTAAAGTAAATAATACAGAATTGGTTAAAGAAGAATAATATATATCATTGAAATCTTTTATTTTTCTTTCATAGCAGAATATCGTGCTAAAAAACATTGTTTTTTATAAAAAGCTCTGTATAAAATCCATTATTAAGCATCAAATTTGTAAAATTCTAAATAAATTTCATTATTTATTTAAAACAACAAAGTAAGTAAAAATCAACTAAAAGTAGGTGCAACGATTTAAACGAGCATATTTTTCATTTTCTTTATACATATTTTCTTTAATAATAGTTAAACAAGTAAATTTATTGTCTCAAAAGTTATTTTTCACAGAAGAAACTACATAATTAAGTTCACATTTATATTAAAATTATGATTAGTACCAGTTGTAGGTAAATATCTCTTTTTAGCATCGTACAACTCCCATCTTAATAAAAATCTAGTGACCTTCGAAATATACCTTTTATAAATACAATTTTTACTACTTTTCTACAATCGTTCACCATTTTAGCTACTAGTGAACCTTTGCAATATAGGTACTCTTTCGTGCAATCGTTCAGTGTTTTCCATTCTAGTGAACCTTTGAGATATTCCTTATATACCCTTTATACCTACTTTTGTCCAATTTTTCAGTATTTTACAGCTACCTTATGGTATACATGTGTAATTATTGTGTTACATTGTGATATACCTATATTATTATTATCTACCTCTACTTGTATGATATTGGTACTGGATTTCAAAAGCTTTTTAATAATAAATTCATACAATTTCTTATTGTCTTTTATTCAGATTTTACTATATCCTCAATATATTATTCTACACATAGTGTATCCAAGGATGGAGATAACTATCCTCAAAAAAATACTTTTCTACACCTACATGGATATTAGCTTATCTACCCACAGATTACAAAACGAAAAAGTATGCTATTCCCTTCTACTGAACGAATAATATATTTCATATCCATTCTAGGTAGTGAGAACACTGCAAAAAATTTAAATCCACCAAACACCGTTCAAAGTTTGATCAACCGACTGATATTCAAATCAGGGACCAAGTCTGGAGATTATCATTCCGAAATGAATTCGGAAAATTACGGCAAATGGTTAAGAGAGAAGTTAATACCTAATCTTCCACCTAATTCAGTAATTCTTTGTGATAATGCTAGTTATCACAATGTACAGCCCAAATCGATCACCTAATTCCAATTCTTTGAAGAATGATATGATCGAAAGGTTGACAAAATACAACATAACTTTTAATCCAACAAGTTTGAAACCAGAGTTATATGAACTGATTAAATCTCATAAGGACTGACATGTAACATATGCATTTGATGAGTTGTGTCGAGAATACGGCCACACCGCTTTACGGTTACCCCCATATCACCCCGACTTGAACCCTATCGAATTGATTTGGGCAACTGTTAAGAATAATGTCAGTCAAAGGAATGGTACCTTTAAATTAGAAGACGTAAAACAATTAGCAGAAGAAGAATTTAACAAAATCGGAATGGAAAAAGAGATGCGATCATGTTATAAAGGTAGAAGATAAATATTTTGAAACTGATTTATGTTCGGAAATTAATCCTATCGTCATTAATCCTCATGAGGATTCTAGTGACGACAGTGACGAGTCTTCTTCCAATGAAGACATATGAACATTATTTATTTGTGATTTACTGTTTATGTTGTTGTGGATAGAGAAGGCAATGGGCTGATTACAGTTATTGTTGATGGAGTGTGATCGAAACGTTCATATAAAGTTAACTACAATGCTTTATCAGGAGTGGTAAGTATTTAATACCATTTCATTTTAATTTCATGATAGTTTCGGCCTTTACTTGATGAAAATCCATATTATTAAAATGAGAAAAACCAAACATGGTAGATTTTCACACTTTTATTTAAAGAAATAAAAATTAAAAATTGCACAATTGTTTCTAAGTACAACTTCTTCTTCAAATGTGACTTATTTACATTTCTAATATATATACAAAATAAACTAATTAGTTAAAGTAAGTAGTTAAGAGAAATATATTAATAAAATTCCAATAAGATATCATTACCGGCATTATCTCACAGAAAACTAAGAACAGGTAAAGAGATTTAATTAAGCTCAGTTATTAATATCTAATTGATCACTTAAGAGGATATTTGAATTTTTAAATCTATTTATTTCAAGTGTTTCTAAATGGTTTAATTTAATGCATTTATTCTCAAAATGTGAAACAATTTTTGCATAAACGATTGATTTTCAGATAAAAATGTTTTGTAGAATTATTTTTGTTTTTAGTATAACTATTGTTATGTTTTAAATAGCTTTTTTTAAAGTAGATAATTTCCTGACCGTAACAGAATTTTATATAAATACCGAACGGAAAGCGGTAGAACAGCCTTAATCTAAAGTCGGCTTACTTAAAAATAATGATTTTTTTAATTGAAAATTCACAATTTTGCATTCTCCTGGAAAAAGTTCTGGCGGCGCCCATGATTGTGGGCAGTAGTACAGAAGTTTTTAATCGCATTTCCTTCGACCTATCTGGCTGAGCGTGGATTCACTGCAGTAGCTAATTTACTGTAAAAGAAAAGGAACAGACTACACATCACTGAGCGTGGCGATCTGCGAGGAATAGGCACGTGTCTAGAGAACACGGATGTCTGGGTCCATCCCTGGCCACAGACAACACACCAAATTCCAGAGATATCCACAGAATATATTTTGTGGATATCCAATATATCCACAGAATATGAGAAATATTCCGTGGATCTAATATGGATATCCAAATGTCCGTCTATATCCAGAATATAGAAGATATCATATGGATATCCAGCAAAATATCTAATGAGTATCTTCCAGACAATACAAGAAATCCCAGAGATATCCACAGAATATATTCTGTGGATATCCAATATGGATATCCAACCAAAGGTCCGTCTATATCCCAGGATATAGAAGAATTCGGATATTCAGCAAAATATTTTATAGGTACCTTTAGTAGAGGTTCATAAGTAACCAATGATTATTGAATAAAATCGAAAGAAAATAGCAGAGATAAAAAATATTTTCAACACTCAAAATATTTTCAACACTCTGCCTTTGATTTTGCCCACTAAGGAGAAAGTTATCCTTATTAGGACTCTTCAGCAATAAATGGAAATTCTCGACTCCAGTCTCTAATAGAGTCCAATTGTGGAACAAATTTCGATCGAACTCAATTACGGCGGGTTGAGCATGAGTAGATGCGAAAGTAGTATCGCCATCTATATTTAGTAAGCAAAATTAAAAATTACATCTAGTGGATATCCACGATGGTTTGCGTCCGCGCCTAGACTTTGATATATTTAGTGGATGTCCATGGGATATTGAATACACCTTAAAAAAATTAATTTTAAATATCTGAACGGTACTATTAGCCACAATGGCGAGCACAATGGCGTAATTTTTTAATAATTTGCTATATAATTACTATTATTTATGGACATTTGCATGTCTATAAATTAAAGCTCATGAATATAAAATAGATATCCACCATGGACTGGACATTCAGTGGATATTGAGATGTTCAGTAGATATCCAAAGGATTTGGTGTGCTGTCTGGGGCGACGACAGGTTTTTTAAATCTCATAATTATTTTTTTTTTTTTTTCACCTTTAGGGCTCGAGGATAATCTTAATAATTCGTAGGGGGATTTTTGAGAATCGTTTCCGAATTTTTAAATTATTTTCAGCCCCTATTTTTCAGATATTATGACTTTTCGCACTTCGATTTGCGATTTCATGATAATAAATTGACAATTTTTAAACTTTATAAGGATCATTTCCTACTATGGGATTTCTCTTGAAACGTTAGTGAACATCTAAATTTATTGTTTTCTGCTATTTATTTTATAGAAACGAATTTATATAATAAAGTTCGTCTGATAAATTTAAGCAGTAAACTAAGTAGGAATAATTGACTTCACAAAGTAAATAAATGTGTTTTCTTACTTCTTTTTTAATACAAAATAACTATGACGTACATAAAAACATACACAAACAAAATGTAAAGTGCGAGTTTTTAGACAAAATGAAAAAAAAGCAAATCGTTTTTAAAACATTCAGGCTCCTTTAGATTCGTTATCAGCGCACAAGCCCGATTTCTATTGGCCAGCCCAGTGATCCCTACCGTAAGGCTCAATATGCTGTCGTTATGAGGATAGTTGGTTTTTTAAACAAAATAACTGAATAAAAAATAGAATAATGAATTGAATTTTATGCTAATTACTGACAGAGGATTTTGGGACCACATGGACCATTTAAAATTTTTGGTTTAGGAATACAGTCAGTAGATTTGTTCGATGATTCAGATTGTCAATTATTTTATTTTTGTAAATATATTTTTATTTATATGCTGTTTTTATTGAATTTAATATAATTAAGTACTGTTAACTAATCTTGGAACATATACAAATTTAAAATCAGCAAAAATACAAAGCTTTCTTGTTATTTCACAATTCTTCAGAATTTCTACTTTTTATGTTTAGATAATGAATTTAAAAATGTACTCAACATATTTAAAATGGAAAAGTACATTAACGCGCGGGCTAACACACGTGCTGTACCAAACTTGTTGATCTAAGTTTATCACCATTTTAGAAAGGCGGAAGGCTGTAAGCATGGCTTTGTATAACCGAAAGTGCTGCCTGATTTTAATAATAATAATGTTACCACTTTCAAATAAGTACCTCTGTATCTTAGGCCTCATAAGGCCCAGTATGCCATCTCCGATGGTTTACATAGAACCTGCCACTCAACTCGTCAAAACCTGCTGGTTGATGCTGAGGGATATCTACAGACAGCCATCTTCGCAGCTCATCTAAGTCCTGCAGGTTAATAACTCATCAAAAATCTGCTGGTTGTCGCTGGGGGTGTCTAGGGCTAGCTAGCCTCTCTATATGTTCCATTTTAGGAAACTGACCATTTCGTGGGCTTCTGCCACCCCGATGGTAAATGCTCAGGTAAAGCCATTTTATTCGCCCGCTCCACAGGACAAATTTAAATTAGTAATATACATGTTTTAGTTTTTTTTTGCAAATACCGCCCAAGATGCAGATGGTCAAAACATGTTATATATGTTGATGTAGCAAAGTAACAACACAATTTAGGTTCTAAGAAACATTAAAAGAAAAACAAAACATACTGGTAAAATAGTATTTAATAAATATTCTCATTGTAGTGTAACTCATCTGATAAAATTAATAAAAAGTAAAACAAAAATGGCACAAATATATTTGTTGCACTAATCAGTAACGTAACAGGTAATAAGTAAGTTAATCAAAAAATAAATAACTTAGTTGGTCCCTTAAATGTATGAATCACAGCCTTTAAAATGCAAGCATTCAAAATTTGTTGTCTACTTGGTAAATATTGTAAGATCACTTGATAAAATTGTTTCTAGCTTATCCTACGGTGGTCATAGGGTTATTCTGATGCCTTGGATGGTTGGTTCTGAAAAAAAATTAAACAACGTTTTAGATATGGTGAAGCAAAATCGTATTAGGGTGCAAAAGGCAAAAACAGTAAAACAGCGGAATGTATACTATGCTAGCGTTTTTAATGCTTTGATATCATGGATTTAGAAGAACTTTGCACCTGTTCTACTATCAATGATGTAGCAACTGAAACCTAATGTAATGACTCAAAATATGTATTTAATAATAGTAAAAAAATAAAAATATGTGATTAATGCAATCAATATCTTCAAATTCTCGTGCCGATAACAAACAAAAAAAAATCATGCACTAAACAAATCGACATAATTTTTGTGTTTTCTTTATCTGTACATATTTTCTGATAAGGGTGAAGAAACTAAAGCAGTGTGCTAATAACAAAAAAAAGATCATTGAATGCCACACTGCTCGATACCTGTATATAGAGGACGATGACGTCGATCGCGACCAAGAAACCAAAAACTTCTCACCTCGTCTAGCGGCTCTCTGTTCATATACCAGCGCTCTTATCACTTCGTCCGGCGCCAATATCGTTTGACTCACTCTGTACAACACTCTAAAAAATGATAAAAATATTATGAGTCATGGTTTTTATTTGCATATGGTTTGGTTTCTATGATGCAGGAAAAAGTCAGTCAGAAAAACAGTTTTTTGGGAATATTTTCTTTCCTATTGATTTTAGTAACTTAATATTGTTATATGGGACCTTCAAGTAATACGTATTTAGATGAGAAAATATTACAGAGATAAAAGAAAATTTTAAATATCTGAATAAAATAAGAAGTAATGGAAATGCACCGAATATCAAAAATTTTTCAAATTACTAAAGCATAAAAAGTAATATTATTGAGAAAAAAATAATTATCGACCACCAAAGTATAGAATTCAACAAAAAAAAGCAAACATGAAAATTCAAAATTATAAATTATACTGACTCAAAGTGGTTGACAGACATGTTATCCCAGTCATTGTTGGACTTATGAAAACTTTAGATTTCTTCAAGTTCTAAATAAATATAAATATTTACAATAAGTACTGAATAGTTACATTTAATTAACAAATAATAAAAAATAAGTACTCGTATTTAAATGAATATAATTCTCAACATACCTTGGCAGTAAAGCTGCAACACACGATAGTAAAGTAACCAACCAATAAGCAGGCCTTGACATCGCTATTTGAATCGTCCAATAAGTACTAGGCAGTCCAAAACAATTGATACAATACGTATTATATATTATAGAGTAGAGGTAGAACGCTCCAATAGATAACACTATAGACGCTACATGGATAATTGTCTGAAAACAAAAATATAAAAATAGTGAAATTATTTATTTATTTATCAACGAGCAATTGCCCAATTAAAATACAAGTTTAATAAGAGGAAAAATTTAAAACCTAACCTACACTTAGAGAATGTTGAAACAAAGAAACACGCATTACCATAAAATTAACATAAACATAAACAAGAAAAAATTAAATGTTAAAAAAAAAAAAATAACAATTGTAAATAAGTTAAATTAAATTATCTAGACATCAAAATATCACATGCATGATTTAACCTGGGATTTAAAGACTTTTTTATCAAAGCAGTCCAATCTATCAGACTATTGATTAGCAAATCTACCCGATCTTGATAGAAAAGAATTATGTCCATAGTTAGTCCAATGTTGTCTAATATTAAAGGGCTGAATAAGCTTTTTTTATCTAGAAGGAACATGGATATTGATTTTTCCCAATAGATCTGGACTAAAGCTGTACGAGTGCAGTATACTGTAGAATGTGGTAAGATCCTTGTGCATGCGTCTAATCTGAAGAGTGGTAATATTAAGGGAACTCTCAATATTTGAGTAATTAATATCCTCGACTCCACGGTGGTCTTTAAATGAAATAAAGTTTAAAAATTAATGCTGAACTCTTTCAATGGCTTGAATAGGAACATTGTAGTGGGGGGCCCAGACACATGAACCATAATCTAAATGGGGCCTCACAAGTGAACAAAGCAATATTTTAATGGAGTATACCTCTAAAAAATCCTTAGCGCAACGTTTAATAAAGCCTAGCATTTGAAGTGATTTTGAGACTGCCATTAATATATGAGGTAAGTAAGATAAGTTGGAATCAAGGACTACACCCAAATCTTTAACTTGAGATACCGATTCCAAAGGGCAACCATTAATATTGTAGATTATGTGTTCTGTGGGACTTATGTTACGACTGAAGACCATTTTATGGCACTTTTTAACATTAAGTTCCATTCCATTGATTTCACTACAGTTGCTGAGATGATCTAAATCAACTTGCAGTTTTATGTAATCAGTTTCGTTCTTTATTCTCATATATAATTTAAATCATCTGCAAACATTAGGAATAGGGCAAAGACAAAACAGGATGCAATATTATTCACACATAAATTAAATAGAAGAGGGCCCAAGTGTGAACCTTGAAGTACACCTAATGATACTTTAATTCCTAATGATTGGAAGCCCTGAATACGCACTATCTGTATTCTTTCAGTAAGTTAAGAAGATAGACATTCAAGCAGTTTCCTTTGAATTCCCAAACTCTGCATCTTATTAATTAAAAGTTTATGGTTAACCCTATCAAAGGCTTTTTAAAAATCTGTATACACAGCATGTACTTGATAACCGTCCTCTAGGGATTCCAAGAGATAGTCAGTAAATGTTAAAAGGTTAAGCTCTGCTGAACGATGAGAAATGAATCCAAACTGTTGATTAATAAAACAGCTTTTTAAACTAGCCGATAAATAATCACAAACAAGGCTCTCAAATACTTTAGGAATACAACTCAATATACTAATAGGTCGATAGTTATCAACCTGTGAGTTATCTCCGGATTTCAGTATATGAGTAATGAAGCTTGTTTTCCAATACGCTAGGAATGTCCCGCTTTTTAAAGATAGATTGAAGATATGAAAAATGGGCCTGGAGAACAAAAAGCTAGTGTTTAATAAGGGATGGTGGAAGACCATCAGGGCCTGGCCCTTTGTTAATATCTAATTTTGATAGTTTTTCATAGATAGCTGCAAATATCTCGGTTTCGCTATCTTGAATAAAAACCAAATCAAGTAAATTGTTGTTAACATTTCTGAGTTAACTTGATGAATATTATTATCAGAGCATAAAAATTAAAGAATTTGTATGGATTCAACTTGATTTGGAGGAACTCCTTCCAAAGGTACAGCGACCGATGCCAATCTATCATTGAACCACTGGCAGTATGGAACGTTAAAGTCTCCCAGGATACAGAGTTTATGCTCTGGATATTGTTCTGATAGATTCTCTAATTTTCAGAAATAATGAAATATTTCTACAAATTAAGATCTACCGTGAAAAACTATCGGACATTCGTCAATATCTAACGTTATATGTCAGTAACAATCATATATCAGTAATTATAGGTGTTTCAACGAGAGCAACTAAAGGTACAGTGATGCACAGTCAATACATTTGCAACGTTGTCATGCTGCAACACATTAACATTATCAGGGAAATTCAAAATTTTACCCGTTTTATCACATCTTTAATATTAGAAACAAAAACTTTGAGTCCAATGAATAAATTAGATATACTGGTCGAATTTAAATTATTTTTTCACATTTTGCAGTCTTGTACTAATTACGATATCAAGAGTCGTTTCATATTTAATAACCTTCTACCTTATTTTAATTTAAAGGTTCTGTAGAAAAAGTGTTTTTATGAACACACTTATCAAAAATGGAAAAGTATATTGTGCATGCGCAAAATTAAATTAAATAATGGCAAACAAAGACAAAATATAGTTTAAAAAAGAAGAAACGAGTAATGTAGTAATAAAAATAAATTATATTTAATCCAAAAAGTGTAACTTATTTACATTTACAGGTAAAATAAACTCAATACATTTTGAATATATTACGGGGGTAAAATACTTAACTAGAATTAATGAAGTTAAAGATTTGGGAGTGAGGTGTGATTCAATTCTGACATTTACAGTGGACTTTGAAGAGAGTTGTAAGAAGGCAAATAATTTGGATTTGTTATAAGAGGGCCAATAGAATTTTCTAATATTAAAAACGTTATATTTTACTTTAATGCAAAATATTTTAGATTTTGTTTCTATTATTTGGCATTGACAGCTTTATTTTTTGAATAGGGCTGGAAAAATACAAAACAAATTTCAAAGACATTTTAAAGAATTATTTGCAAATTAAGATGTTTTGTTTGTTTTTTAAGTGGCAAATGATAATAAAATTATATTTTTCACTTGGTAAAAGCTAAAATAAACTGTAATTTTTTGTCGTAAATACACTAGCTAACCTAGCAGATTTATGCTTTATCCCTGATCAATTTTACTCTTTTTTTTTTGAGAGTACAAACACCTTATAATTACACCGTGTTTTATACACATGTTTTATAAGATAATTTGTCAAGTAGATAAAAACTGTTGAAAGATGCTTACCCAGGAACGCATTTCAATGGAAGCATGTAGGAGCATCACAAACATACAGGCAGTAGTAGCGGTCGTGCCGAATTCAAACACGTCAGCGTCGGTATCGTCGTACGCTGCTTGGCATATAAAAAATATGGCGGTACTCTGGTATAGCGCGTCTAACATTGTTAACCAAAACGAAAACGATCTATATACTTTTCCTAAACGACCTCTTTTGTATAAATATGGATTTTTTAAAAGGATTTCCTGAGGGGCATCTTGATCATATACACCTAAAACGAAAAATATGCTGAATAATCGATTTTCCAAATATAATAAATCAACTTACCGATTGCTAAAGGAGGTAATGAAGTAAATAATAAATTATATAACATGAGGTACATTTGGTCTATCATCACAGTCCCAGAAAAACCGCAATATAATTGATACCAGAAACACAGAAAGACGAATGCCTGAAAATGAACAAATATATATTAATTAATTTGATTAAAGTATATCTAATAATAATTAAACAGAATTTTATTGAAGTACATTAAAAGCGTTGAATAATTTGAAAACTCGGAAACAAATTTCAAAAATCCTCTTACGAATTATTAAGATCAATCGGAACCCCAAAGTTGAAAACAATAATTGGAGATTTAAAAAAAGGCCTGCCACAGCTGGAAATCAAACCCGGACATCCTTGTATATTAGACAAGTGCCCTTCCTTCTAAACCATCACGACATTGATTGTCGAGATTCCTAGACATAAATCTGATGTGCTAGTTCGGGCCAGATAGCGTTCAAGCTCATTCTCAAATCTTCAAATACCTCTATACGGCATCGGTATATATGAGAAATGCATTTATGAATACTAAGCCCATATCCTCGTCTGTGTGAATTAAGTTTTCAATGTTAAGAGACGTAAACCTGAGTGTGAAAATTATTGTGAATATCATAAATCGCAAATTAATCAAAATCCGAAAATATCTGAAGTAAAATTTTGGAAACAAATATCAAAAATCCCGTACGAATTATTAAGACCACCTCCAAACAGCTAAAAATTTGAAAAAAAGCTTGTCTCAGCCAGGAAGAGTGTATGATGTCCAAAAATGAATGGCACCAATTCTATAATTTTATTTAAATGCCAACTCCTTTAATATACATGGTATAACTAAAAAAAAAAAATAAGTACTTACAGCATTTTTGTAAAAAAAGTAAAGCACCATCCTGGAAAGTCTATCATAACTCCAGTGTCCGTGCACAAGTAGAAACCTTTCTAAATATTTAAACCTAGACAGAGCGAAATCCGCCGCCATAACGGCCTGACAGCCCTCTTGACCGGATATACCTATTCCGACATCGGCAGTTTGGATCATCGATACGTCATTGGCGCCGTCTCCAATAGCTAAAGTTCGTTTCTTCAGTTCTTCCTTGACGACTCTCACAATGTAAGCCTTTTGTAATGGCGTGGCCCTACAGCAGAGTACCGAATTACAATAAGTAGTCAATTTCAGAAACGGTTTCGTTAAATTCGCCCTCCTATCCAAAATGAACGTTAAAGTTTTTCCGTCGACAGCTAGCGCTCGAGTTTTGTTTCTGTTGCAATTTTGCGATAGGTTGGCGCTAGTGGACGGTCTGATTTTGTTATCGTTATTGGTTTCCTCTCTTTCAGTTCTTTCGATGTCCGCCAGGTAGCAATGTATCGTCGTTTCGGCAGCTTCTTTCGATCTCGCCATGATCTTGAGCAATTCCATTTGGGGAGAGAATAATTTCGCCGAGTAGGCTATGTTGATGGCCGTTTCGGGTTTATCTCCGGTTAAAACCCATATGACGATTCCTGCTGCCATTAGGGCCGATAACGTTTCGGGTACGCCCTCTTGAAGGCGATCTTCGATCCCTAAAAAGAAGCAAACATAAAGTGAAAGAAAGTATAAGTAACCTACATAGTAGTGATAGGTCCCATGGAAAAGTCCACGGACAAATCCGACGGGGACTAGTCTGAAAAGTTGACTAGTCCAAACACACTTTTCAAATGTGAAAAAATGTATTGCGCATGCGCGACATTAAATTAACAAATTTTTCTGAATTTCTTACAAAAGCAAAATATAGTTTAAAAAAGAAGAAACGACAAATGAGTACTGACTTTTATGTTTTAACAATGTTTTCGAATTTTCGTTTCAAATCTTATTAAAATAAACACGTGAAAAAATTACAAAAAAAAAAAAATGATTTGCCTAAAAAAACGAAAATAAAAATGCAAATATTGTTTCCAAAGTGTTTTTGAAAAAAACATCCAGGATAGAGATTTAACAGTGTGTCTTCTATGTCCAAGGTCGATTACTTTTCATTGTGACTTTTCATTACTTTTCACTACTTTTCCATCGGACTAGTCCAAAAATTACTTTTCATGAAAAGACCCATCACTACTAAGTAGTATACATATATAGAGTGTCCGAAATTTTAGTTGAATGTATTATAATCTCGGTAAATGTAAGAATTATAGGATTGGTTAAATGAGAGTATTACATAAACAGATACTTAGTTGAGATCAATTTGCTAGTTTTTGAGTAATTTTGAGAAATGTCAAAAATGTCCCATTCCAGAGGAGTTGAGTTGTTAGAGGAGATATCAATGCACTTCTTTATATGCGCCTTTTCTCATCTACGAGTATAATACGACATAATTTGTTTTTGAGTACGTTTTTTTTTGACCCATCAACAATATATTTTTTTTTTTTTTTTCAATACGGGCCTGTTGTTTTTTATATCGATTTCAATAAGAAAAATATTCTGTTTACAATTGTTTACTTGCAATACCGGCTACATCCAAAATTTTTTTAAACAAATATACTAGTACTAATATTCAATGAAATAGACTTTATTATATATTCCGATTACCTCATAAGCAACTCTATCCAACTGTCTACGTCCAATGTAAAATTTGTTCCAAAAGCGAAGAGGTACAGAATTAACCAACAATGATTTTTTTCTTTTGAACTGTTGTTTGTTCTCGATTTTTCCAGATGTTCAAATTTTTGTAATCTCACTTATAGTATTTTTATAAAACTTGAAAAAATTACAAAAAAATATTTTTATATTTGTAATTTGTTTCAAAATCAGACGCTTTTTATTGCAAAATCGACTACATCCAACTTTACTATTATTAGAACAGGATTTTTAAATTATGTCTAGTACAATATTTAGAAACAAATATTTCCTTCAAAGTTAGGATCAGTGGGGGGGGGTTGGTTAGGAACCCCCCATCCATCATGGAGGGCCTTCGCGTCATCGTTTCCGCTATCTTATTGGCACTGATCGCTATTATCAGTTTGTTAACCCCCCATAGTTCTCAGAAACCCCTGCCATGAAAAATTTCTGTCTACGCCACTGGTTGGGAATATTATTTTTGCCAAAATCTCAATATTTTCTAAAGTGGATGTAGGAAGTATTGCAAGTAGATGAATCAATTATGTGTTATTATTTATGTCATTATTATTTTATGACGTTTCGAGCCTAGAAACCATCATCAGTTTAAAATGTACATATTTTTTCCTATTGAAAATTGTATAAAAAACAACAGGTCCATATTAAAAAAAAGGTTAATGATGGGCTAAAAAAAACGAAACTGCATACTCAAAAATTAATTATGCCATATTGTAGAGGAGAAAAAGTGTTTCTAGTTATTAGATATCTCCACAAGCAACACTATAAAATGAAATGGCAAAATTACTTAAAAAACTAACAGAAATTTTAATTTTGAAGGTGGATCTAAACTAAGAATCTCTTTACGTAAAACTTCTCTTATTTAAACAACCCTATAACTTTTGTAATTACCAAGATTTCAATACATCAAGCTAAAATTTGGGATATCATGTATAAGAGGACGCAATCTCAGGAAGTAAGATGAGAAACTAAATCCCATCGGCAGTGGGAAAGACGTTGAAGGAGCCTCCAAAAACAACCCGCCCAAGACGAGAAAATGATAAACGAAGAGTATAAAGGAACATAGGGGTTGGTAAAGTACCCGCACTTCAGGAAGACAAACAACGATGGTGTAAAGTAGCGGTTTGCGAACTCCAAGGTTTTAAAATGGGATTCGAAAAAAAAAGTACTATGGCAGATTTTAGATCCTAAATATCGCAACGGGCAACATCACAACAATGTACCAATGCTGGTTATGTGAACACATTCTCATACTATTTGGCAACTACTAGATAAATCGAGCGAACAGAGACTTTCCCAAATTCGCTTGAAAGAACCAGAATAATGCTTCCTGGTATAAAAACGGCGCAGCCACGTAAGGAAGGGTAGAGTCGAACTGAACTGTATTATGCGCAAGAAACATGAGTGATTTAAAAAAAATACCTAAGTTAGTAGGTATGAATATTAGTAATGGAAACCAATTTAGTGATAGCTTCAATTAACGTTCCAAAACTATTTTCCTAATAACCCTACTATAATGTATGGATCACACAATTGGATAAATTATAATTATTTTCTACTGGAAATAGAAATTATCATTGACTTATTATCTGCCAATTCCCTGAAAGAGCTGGTTTAACTCTTAACTGGTATACTGTTAATTTATTTTAGTACGAAAGGACCAAATATATATAAGATTTATTTAATTTTGATTTAAATTGTTATTTTGGAAGATTAGTGCAATAGATTTAGAATCTTTATATGTAATTAAATTACAAATAATACTTGTATATTTTAGATTTTTTATTATTATTTATTTCAAGATTGATTTTATTATTGTGTGTTTTAATTTAATTTTTAACGTTATTAGAGCGTAAAGTTTAAGGGTATATTCAAATTCGTAAGGGGCCCAAGTGCTTTAAATTTAACAAACATTCGTTTATTTTGGCAATAAGGTGCGGCACCATCGCGTATCCTTCTGAATCGGAACCATCTGGTCGGTGCTTAAAGGCGAAAGTTTAAACTGTACCAGTTTGAAGATATAGTTTAAATGTACACCTTCTATATTTTTATACTTTTATTATTGATATTATGTATATTTGTAATTAACTTTTAATTTTATATTTAATGTTTTTTTTTTTATTTTTTATTCATTTATTTTAGTATTGCATAATAATTATATTTATGAGTGTTTGTCTATAAGTTGACGATAAACATATATGGATTGATTAACAGTCATCTTTAAAATGTTTCAATTAATGATAATCATATGAAAAAATTGCTAAGATCGTCTGGAGTTTTGGAAAATTGTTTAAAAAAGCAACATGCTGAATACATGTTTTTCTACAACTCCTGCAACACAGCGTTGGAAATGTAAGAGAAAATTTCATTGTCAATTTTTTAGAAACATTCTAATTAGGTCTTTATTTGTTAAAAGTTTTGTGATGAAGAGTAAAGAAAAAAATGGGCTGTGTTACGATGAAGACATTGACCTTTTGAGTTATAGGAGCAAGTTTGCAAAAACCTCCTAAAATGTATTTACAAAATTTTGATATTTTCATGTTACTTTTAGTAAATACATGGTATCCAATGCTTTGCTGTTTTTGCGGAGCGCTGGTTTGGCGAAGTTGCATAGTAGCGCCGAGACTGGGCATTCTCAAGGGAGCCTATTTTCAAACTTAGTAGAACTCGTTTCTCTTAAGATTTTCATGAAAAATGTCATACGTCAACGTAAAAACAGTATTTTTAAAGCCAGTGAGAATTAAAATTTTTACCGAGAGAAACAGTCAGTGATTTCTTACTGGTTTTACGTTGACTTATGACATTTCGCATGAAAATCTTGAGCTATACAGCTATACAGAGCCTGCAGATTATTTAGTAAGAATGAAGAGGTGAACTGGTGCACCAACGATTGACAGAACGCTTTTATTGATCGACTTTGCCAAAATTATAATAAATTATTTTCCGATTGTGATATTTTTAATATTAACGTACATAATCTAAAAAGAACACTTAAGTTCGGTGGTGTCTAACATATTTATTTATTGTACTATTACTTGTGTTTTTAGTGAAATATATTATGTCTAGTTTATGAGTGTTTTTATACAATTTTACCTTTTTTTATGTATTCTTGAAATAAATAATTTTTGTAGAATGATCAGAACCAAACTACAACAGTAAACAGCGACTGTTATGCAGCTATGTTAAACGATTTATTTCGATCAAAGCTTCAACAATTTGAAGAATTTGATGTCAAAACATGGTTTTGGCAACATGCCGTCAGTCAGAATATCTTTGGCGACGGTGCAAGAACAGAGGACCATAAGGAGTCCTGACCTAACCTATGTTGATTTATTTTTGTAGGGTTACCTAAAATCCTACGGGTATGATACAATGCCACGCACTTAAATTGCAAATTGATGCCAAAATAAACGTTATTCCACAGGAAATGCCTGTAGCTGTTTTTACAAATTTTAACACCTGACTTCAGGAATGTGTGACAAGTGAAGGAAGGCATCTGGACATTAGTTTTAAATATCAAAAATCAGCATTCTTATTATTAATATTTTGACAATAAATAAGTTATTTTTACCAACAAATATATTTTTTATTTAAGTTTACAAACAGCAAAACATTATGGGACACTCATTATTTGTTTTTCTTTATTCAATCCAATTCTTACTTTGCTAAAAAAAATAATCTTATTCCTCCAAAAAATGTTTGTACTTTTTTCTCCATAGAAGTTTTAAAATAGGGTCAGTTACGATAAAAATTTATATACCAGTTAAGTGTTAAATATCTCTTTTTAACCCAATTTTACGGTTTTATTTACTGTTACTAATGACTACAATTTAATTCGGTTTTTAGAATAGGTTCGCAAGGAGAAAAGTTTCGAAACCGCTGGTGTAAAGTAATGCGGATTTAAACAGGGCATTTCTACCACTTTAAAGAGTTGAAAAGATAAATAGATGAAGCGGCAAAGATTGTAGTAACTATGAAGAATGCAAAATATTACCTGTTGCTCCTAATAACGTTAAATTACACTCTATACTATTTTGACTATCTCTAATCTTCCTTTCTAAATTATCGGCGGCAAGTTCGGCTTCTTGGTGTTTCCTAAACCATTCATCGTATTGGTGTTGGGCTAAAACTCTTTTCGCCATAACGAGAATACGAAGACCCTCTTTCGAGTAATTGTTTATGTGTTGTTGAGTCGTGTTGATTACGACTTTTTGCTCGGAATCGTCTTCGACCGGTGTCAACTGCGGTAGGATCGTGGAATCAGCTCCTAAAAGATTGTTTTAAACATTATCACGTTATTTAAAAACTATTTGATTATCATATATTATAATACGATTTCAAGAGTAGTACTCATTAGATTATATCAGAAATTAATAAAAATTTAATAATCACGCATATTACCTTTTGTATATAAGATAATCTGCTTCGTATGCGGATTCCTGACGATAATACTCATTCGTTTGCGTACAGAATCGAAAGGAAGCACATTAAGTATCTCAAACTCCATTTTTCCAACTTCTGGCGAATCCACGCTAACCATTGTCGGCGTCCTTTTTAATAAACGAACTCCGTAGTTGTAAGCGGCATCAACCAGCGCCAGTTCATCGGGACTCTCCGCTTCGAAAATCGGCTTCAATTCGAAAGGTGATGGCGTAGCAGATACTGTCAGCTTAGCCTTTTGTTCATCGGTTAAGTTACTACCGCGTTTAAGAAACACTAAAATAAAAATAACATAATAAATTTATATAAATAAAAAGTTCCTTGTTTTTTTCAGTCAAATAGTTTTAATTTTTTTTATATTTTAAGCACTACTTATGTTTCGGAAAATACAATTTTTCCATCTTCTGGTGCAGTCAATTTATAAAAAGTATGGGGACGAATACAAACAGTTAAAAAAAAATACTTGGTTATTTTATCTACTTCAATATATGTGTTTCGAGCTCAATTTATAGGGCGCGGGATAGGTTTTTAAATAACTTTAATAACTTTGAAAAAGAAGTTGGGCACCACTATACCTCTTAAAGCTTATACAATTAACTCTACATTAGTGATAAAAATATAGAAATAGTGATAAAAAATAGAAAAACAAATTATACTTAAAACATGCTTTAGATAAGGTAGGTATCGAATTCTAATTCACATAAGTTTGCAAATAATTCAAATTTAAAACAATTTATTGATTAAATCAATTGCACTTATATATAGGTAAATAATGTTATATAGGTAAGTTAAAGGTAAAATCAGGTATTTCTTCTTTCATCTAACTACAGAGGTACATCAATCTCCAAACATTATATACCAGTCAGGCAACTTCTACCAAGTGATTTGAGATATTTATTCATAACTCTCAATCGTGACTGTGAATGATCTTCAAAGTAAAAGATTCTTATTTGTAATCGAACTCGAACGATCTTCCAGATAAATGTTTCTTATCTGTACTCGAACCCAAACGATCTTCAAGATAAATGATTCTTATTGTATTCGAACCCAAAAAGTCTAATGAGTGCCGTCAGACGGTCATAAATATAATTTAATACTTCGGATGTCCGAGATTAATCAAAATATAAGTGATCTATTCGTCGCTGTCTTTGAAATCAAAATGTCACTTCCTCTGACACAAAGCATAGACGACAAATGAAATCTGAGTAAGAGGTGATTGTGTCCAAAATAACGAAATAACGGTTCCAACCATTACAAAGCTTATGTTTATTTTGGAAAACATGGATGATCAATACATACAACTATCTATATCGTTGACCATATCATTATCAATTGGTAACAATTTCGTTTGGAACACCTAATATCGTGTTAAAGAATCATCTGAAAACTTCGAGTAGCAGTAGCGTGCGCTGCATTTTTATATAAATAGCGCAACTTTGTCGATAGAAGTTAAATTTATAGACAAATTCGAATGTCTAAGTGTGAAATATAAATCGGCTAAGTATTTAAGCATAAATAAATTAATAAGTGTTGTGTATGTAAATAAATAATAAATGATAAACTATTTTAATAAAATAAACTACAATATTTTCGTTTAAAGTGTTCCTTTAACAGTTATTATTTTAAAAGCAGTGTTAAAAAGTACCTTTAACTTTTAACACAAAATAAAATGGCATTTTGAATGAAGAATCACTTGAAAAGTTTTGATTGAAGAATCATTGGAAAATGAAAAAAGGTATGAAGTACAGAATATTTTTAATGCAAAGCTATTTTATTTAATATATCAGGGCAGAATTTGGATTAAATCAAAGGATTCAAGCGACCTGCTGCAATTGCCAAATGTGACTTTTAAAAACATTTTTAATAAAGATGTGGACAGAACTATAATAAACCCTATAGAACTAACTCTAAACTTTTTCTAATTTTGGAATGTATATGAAACTTATTATTCCACCGAGATGTATTCTTCTCCAATAAATTGATTAGCAATTATTTCGGCTTTGTAGTTTTCCTTGGAGCGCGAAACAAAATTTTTACAAGTTGTTTTAAAACAATAATAATAAATTATGACCGCCCTCCCAACCCTTACCAAAATGTATAAACTAATCTCCGAGCAAAAGGAAAGCAAACTACTAAAGGTCATGTAAATTTTGACATATCATGGCATGTTGTTGAGGTTGTCAAATCTGTTGTTTATTATTCAGTAACTAAAGACAAATCATCAGGACAAGTTACAGCACCGAGCAACATGTGCAAATGATAAAATTTCGACCTGTTCGGTGAAAAATCAGCCAACGCTTGTATGTCAACGAAACCCAAGATCTGTCGAAAACATTGCCGGTGTGCAGGAGAACCCGAGGCAGTCACTTCCGCGCCGCTCACAGAACTAGACCTTACGCTGACTTATACTTGGCGAATTTTGCGTCGGGACTTGGGCCTGCACCCATACAAAATCCAACTGACCCAAGAACTGAAGGTAAACAACCATAAGCAGCGTCGTGTGTTCGCTGACTGGCCGCTGAGGTAATTGGCATCGGGCCCCGATTTTAGCAAAAAAATCATCTTCGGCGACAAGACCTACTTTAGGGAGAAACGGGCACGCCAACAAGCAAAATTGTCAGATTTGGGACGATGTCCATCCATACGAGGTCCACCAAGTGGAAATTAATCCGCAGAAAGTCACTGTTTGGTGTGAATTTTGGGCCGACAACATTATCAGTTTGTACTTCTTCGAAAACGACGATGACATTGCCATAACCATCAATGGCGAGCGTTACCGATCGATGATAACCAATTTCTTGTGACTCAAATTGGATATGTGATATGGGTGTGGAATGACACATGGTTCTAATAGGACGGCGCTAAGTGCCAACAATGGACATTCTGTACGGGTATGGTTATCTCACACAGAGCGAACTGGCCACCTAAATCGTGTAATTTGACCCAGTTACACTTTTTCTTGTGGGGTTTCCTTAAGTCGAAAATCTCAAAGTCAACATAACCCATGCCATTATCATCATCAAAAATTGGGCGCCACACAGCGATACTGCGACGGCCATTTGAACGATATCATATTCCACACATAATGTCGTGGATAGGCCTTCCTAATAAATAAAAATTTCCTTAATGGAAAACCTTTAGTAAATTGTTTTATGTTATCCGCCCTTCTTTTTCTCTTAAATTGACTATCCCCATGCTAACCTAGGTCAAAATTAATTCAAATGAAACTCATCAATGCGATGTTGTCAAGCATCCCTGTAATATTATAAAGGGCTCTGTTAAAATTAATGTTTAACAGGCCTCTAAAATTAGTGGATAAGGAAAATACCGTTTTTGATTAAAAAAAAAAATCACGGGCGGATTGATGTGTTAATTTTTTTTTAAAGGATGTTTTACAGAATAATACCCCTTACGTCAGATGTTAAATTATTTTACTCACTGAAAATACCAATATTGTTAGAAATTAATTTTTTTCTAATTTTGACATAAAAAGTAACATATTTTGTTGCAGCAAGTGTCAAAACGATCTACTTTATACAACCTAATATTCAATTTATTGTAATACATTGTATAACTTTTTAAATCTAAATTAAATTCTTGTAAGGGAGCTGTCTAATATATTTTTAAACAGTGCACTATTTTCAACAATGGGTGCGTTCACCAGACGGCAACAGTTGAGTTGTTGAGTAAGCGATAGCGTTCGGCAGACACGATGACTTTACGCTGAATGTCATCTGCTGCAAATTTCACCCAGCGCGATGAATTTGCGCTGAGCCGACTCAACATATGTTTAGACATGCGCAGTGAGATGACAGTTCATTGTTGCGCGTGCTTTTTTAATTTTTAAAACGTACATATTATGGAAACTAATACAGAAAATTTGTCAACCTACAGTTTGGTGTTTTCACTGTTTTCTGACAAGGATCAGCATCAGCCAATAATTATAAGGTTATGTTCAACAGTCTAATCTGACAGTTTTGTGACAGACAGAGACCCAACGGTCAACGGAGCGTTCAGCCAATTTCCATCTGCTGCCGGATGTTAATGCCCAGCCGTTTAGCGCTTAAAGTTAACTGCTGACGCCTGGTGAACGCACCCATTATTTAACGGAGAAATACAATCATTTATTTTTTATTTGTTTACGATTTCAAGTCCCTCCCAATCACCGCTTAGAGATAGGATTTAATGGAAAACGCCACAGATCCAATTAAGAAAAAAAATACTTACCTTTAGATGGAATATTGAGCAACTTGGGCCTAGCTATTTTTATCGTCCCATTGTCACCATCAGTGACACCGTTAATATCGCATGTCGGAGACGATTCTATCGAATCTATAGGCGAAAGGGTAGGAACATGTTGGCTTCTCTTGCTTTCAAAAGAATAGGAATTTAATGGTGGCGACGGTGTCACAGATCGCGACTCTTCTAGACGTGTATATTTGTCGTTTGAGGAAAGCGACTGAGTCGCCGTGCTGGTTGTTGTCGAGCTATTTTCACTAGAGTTTTGGTCCAATTTGTCGTAGATATTCGTATCTTCAATTATACCTGAAAATAAAATATAGGGTTTTTGTTTTAAGGATTAAATTCATTTATTGACTCATAAAGTATCAAAAAGCGTTCAGAAACAATTAAAATAGAAGGTCCTTTTGACCCTTCGGTGACAGAGGAGTGGATGGAGTCCGGACCGGGCATGCGCATAAGGTGATTTAAATCGATGACAAGATAATTATTGTGATTTATACCTGAATAAAGTTTTTAGTTTTTCCCCGTAACTGTTACTAATAAGTATGCTTAAGTCAATGAGGTTGAATAATATTGAGATGATATGCCATTAAAAATGGGACACCACTTTTCTCTCTCTTAGAGGTTCTCTCACAGTTGTCAAACGGATGTCAAAATTTTTGCAAATCAGGCATTTCAACGATCTGTCAAAATGCTGCCCGTGGGTAATGACAGGTTATGATATGGCAACCCTGTGGGTCTGTTGATGACACGTATTATAGTTATATAGATTGTTCAAAGCGGGTCGTTTTGCGAGCGGCCATACTGCCCCGCAAGTTCTCTAATCAGAATCGTTTAAGCAAAAATGTGTTTTAAAACCAATTTGCAGCCTTTGAATATAGTAAAAAAATTACCTACATTTCAACTTCAACGCATAAGCTTATGTTTATTTTTAAAAACGTGGATGATCAATCTATATAACTATCTATGTCATTGACCCTGTAAAATCACTAGATTATGATATGGCAACCCTGCCATATCATAATCTGTCATTACCCAGCGCAGCCATTTTGTTCGGAATGCCTAATTTGAATATTTTAGCGTTATTCGGTCTGTTCCAACTACAGTTTAAATACAAAAATGCTTGTCAGACTCATATGCATTTTGAGGGTCCAACCAACTTCAAAGAAAATATCAGATTGTAAGCAGTGGCGGTTTGCCCGGAAGGGCACTTGGGCAGGTGCCCTAGTATAATAAAAAAAATAAAATAAATAATAACTTACATATTTTATATTTTCCTCAATGCCTATTATTATTTTATCTAATATTCAGCGCAAACCGCGTTGGCACGACACTGGACGACCGGGCGTTGAGCGACGTTCCGAGAATTTCGAAATTAAGTGGAAGATGGGCAGAGGGCACAGTAAATGTGTGCCTGTTGTTTTCTCTCTCATTATGATGCGAAAAACAAGGACAACGACAATATCGCTTAGCAAGAGATGAACACATGCGATGGATTATACGTCACAAGCGGCGCGCTGTCCTGATCGTGACGTGCTGTAGAGCCGGGCCAAGATGAGATTGGTACACAGCATGGCGACGACAAGTTGTGCACTGGCTGTTGCCTAGCAACGACCACTCGGCGAAGTTAAACTTAGTCATTCAGTGGCATAACCTGGGTCGAGTATATACAAAGTGAATATAGTGCGAAAAGTGACAATTTTATATAAATATAGTGCCTTGTGATTTATATTTACATATAAGTATTGTGTTTTTGTGTTTTAATGGCTCCAAAGAGTATCGGATTAAAAGGGAGGTCCCTTAATAGTCAAACAAGAGAAATTATATATAATATTACTAAATTTATGGAAAAAGAAGCAAATGAAGGATTTCAAATTCCTCTAAAAAATTATCGGTGAGTATGATAATATAGCATTTATTTTATAACAGTCGTAAGTATATTACATAACAAGTAGTAAGAAGCGTTAGAATTTTTATTTTATTTAATCAGACTAAAGGGTTGATAAATTTTGAAAGACATATTTTAGTTTCTGGTTATTTTTCTTCAGCAAATAATGCCAAATTGCGATATACTTTTTGATCAACTGCAGAGTAGACAGCTCGATGCTCTCAAGGTTAAGATAAAAATTTTGCAGCAGCTATTCAAAATATTAGAAATAATACAGACACGCTAATTCATGAAGAATGGCAATCACAACAAGACCCACAAGAACTAAACTTAAACACCCAATCAGGTCAAAGTACAAGCAAAAAGAGACGGTTTGTTGAAAAGGAGGACCCCATTCCTAATTTAAGGATATGTAAGGAAATTTGTGATACAATAGTAGTGCAGGTAAATGAACGTTTTAGTTTTACTACCCACCTAACAATTGCAAGTTTATTTGATAGTGAAAAATTTAAAGACTACCGAGGTTGTTTTCCAAATGAGGACGTTAAAACTGTGTGTAGTTTATTTGCAAACGTAAACGGCTTAAAATTCAAAAACGAACTGTCCATACTTTACACCCGAGATGACTATGTGCAACACCATGGGGCCGTACCGTTATTACAAATGTTTTTTGAGAACAATTTGACAATTACATTTTCGGAATCTGTGGAGCTGCTAACTATCCTGTGTACAATTCCCATGACCACAGTGGAGAGACACTAAACCGTATTAAAACATTTTTAAGGAATACTGTGCCAAGATAAATTATGCGCGTTAGCCATGTTATCCATCGAAAAAAAAACTGATTCGCTCCATTCCAAATTTTAATAATCTGGTCATCGATCACTTCGCTAGCCAAAAATACAGAAGACTGGACTTCAACTATAAGAAATAGTATACAACTGCAGCGGTACCTAGCAGTTAGTCTTCAATTTTGTAATATTTAATTTGTTTTCAAATATATTTAATTTTCATTAAGCAGAGAACTTATTTTCCTAAGGGAAAAACGAATCCCGGGATTCCTTTCCATTGTGTGCCCCACTGCCGCTAGTGCCCACGAGCCGCCACTGATTGTAAGTCCAATGTTCCAAGCACGACAGTCAGAAATGTGTTCAAACAAGAATTCGGTCAGAAAACTGTTAACTGTCATGCTTGCGCAATAAATTTCGGATCGGTCATGGATTATTTGTTAAAACAATAATTTAAAACTTGTAATTATGCGCACGCAACTTTAATTAGATCTTAATATGCCTCTGCTTTGAGGTCTTTTACGCTACCTACGCCCAGTGGTGTCATTTTTAATAACACGTATAACACACAATTAATAACACTATACAAAACATTTTTACAGAAAATTATACCTCCATGTTTTAGGTGAAGGTACGAATATGTCACATTGGTAACCGACCCTATTTTCTAGCCAATCAAAGAAAAATCTGGCAACGCGGCAATTAAGTCCTTTTTCGGTATATTCCACTGACGTTTAGTACACTTTTAAAGTGTATCGTGTTGTTTTTCCGGCGATATATATATATATTTTTTTTTTTCGATAAACGTAGAGATGAAGTGAAATTAAAACAGTTTTTCTTTCATTAGTTGCAGATAGAACACTGCTACGTTGTCATGTCAAAGTGTTTCTCCGTAAGGTCTTGTTAAGACCTTCATTATGACCTCGCAAAATTGCATTACAATTACAAAATACAGAAAATTACGGCTGGTAACTTGAAAATACTTTTATTTTTATTAGGAAATATTTGTTTACTTACCACTAGCATTCATAAGATCGTGGTGAGGATGATTTGAGCAAACTACGGTATTGCATAGTGCTAATAACAACAAAAATTCTTGTATTCTTCCTGAATGTACTGTTCTCGAGCTATAGACGTTCTCTGAGTATATCCCTTCCATTTGCCAATCACCCAATAATCGGGGATTCACAGCAATGCTTAAATTCGTCAACTTGTCACTGTTAGCTTCATCTAAATAGATAAATTTATAATATGATTATTAAGAGTTTAAAAGAAACTAAACCTACTTAAATTTAGTATTAAAAAATCTCACCTAGAAGCGAATGTTCGTAGTCAACGCCTGCGATGGCACATCTTCTGAATATCATTCGGTTTTCAGTTAGGGTACCGGTTTTGTCCGAAAAAATATACTGGATTTGACCGAGTTCTTCTGTTATGTTTAAGGCACGGCATTCAGTCCTTTTGTCTGTTACGGGATCATAAAGATCGGCATTGTGGTGAATATGATACACTTGGATTATCTTACACATTTCTAGGGTAACGTAAAGTGATAAAGGAATCATAATCTGAAATAAATTAAAATTAATTGTTTTTAAAAATCATTGCAGAATGTCGGAAAGCAGGTATTAAACCACCATCTATATAATTTAAATACTACTATCGGAAAGCATAACTTTAGATGCTATACCATCAATTTTGTATACATTGTGCCTAAATAAGGGGAAAACTGATCTTTCCGATCCCGGATCGGAGTTTTTATCAAATAAAAATTGACCGCATTTCTTACATAGATAGTATTTGGAATAGTTATAATGAAAACCTTCTGTGATACAAAAATAATGATAATTGAGAGCAGTGGCGGCTGTGATAATTTAAAATGGAGATTTTCCAATAATTTTAGCATAAATTCCCAGGAAATCCCCAAAAAATCCCAATATTACCCATACGAAATAATAAAAATTATTTTTAAACCACCAAAGTGAAAACAAATTTAATGAAATATTTAATAAAATTCTGCCCGCGGAGGGATGCAAACCCACCTACTCCTGTTCTAGGCACAGTCGCTCTTTCAATTAAGCTATCGCTGACATAGTCAAAGACTTTCAAATTGTCAAGATGACCAATCTGGCCATGCTCTAATCCTTTGTGTCCCTCTGCCCTGTTTGGGTCTTGTTACGACCCCACTTGTCTTTAAAACCAGGAATATTTGATGAAGGTTATAAACCCTCTTCACTCAACTATAGAGACGCCTGTGCGCACAGGTAGCCGATATGAATCATTCAGTTGGGAATGTACTAGAAGAAAATTCGAGAAATTGCCGGAGACGGCCTGTTACAGCAATGAGAACATCGATAAAGTAAATGTGTTATAAATTAGTACAAATAAATGTGTTAAATAAATTAGAAATATAATTAGTGCTTAAGTATAAATAAATTAATAGTACGCAGTATAAGTAAATTAGTTTGTACGCAGTGTAAATAAATTATAAATAATGTTTTAAATAATATTAAATTAAACAATCGTTACATTGGTGTCAGAAGTGGGACTCTAAATAAATAGTACACAAAAATGACTAAAAAACTAAGTGATTTAAAAGTGACGGAGCAGAGCTGGCAGAGCGGGCAGAGCGGCTTAAAGAAGCAATAATAAGTGAAGGTTTGGATCCGGAAACGTATTTATTTTCGGATGATGCGTCTTCTATAATTTCTTAAATTTCTTCCGATATAAAAACCGAAATTATTCAAAGCTTCTGAAATACATCTTTCGGTGACGACTTTTTTGTTAACATTTTTTCGTCATAAAACCGTTTGCACTGTGACCACACCATCTCTATCGAATTTTACTGGCAGTTATATGGAGTTCTTAATATTTTATACCCATATTCCTCAACATATCTATCTAGGTGGAATTCTTTTCGTGGTAGATTTTGACGTACAACGTCTCAAATCTGATATTTGATACCACTGATTGGATAAATAATGTTCTTTTCCTGGAACCATTTTACCATTTTATCTTTTGTCCAACTATAACATGGAATTGGTTCTAGTGTACTGCGAATGATAACTGACATGATCGTTTATAATCGAAGAAGGATGTCCCAGACTAGGTTTTAATTTCGCCTTAACCATTTTTCAAAATGTTCTGTGTTTATATTAATATGGCAATCCCCGCTTTTTGTTTAACTTTTAAATATGAGGTCTGCATTTTTTATAAATTTTTCTTCATTGCCACCATGGACAATTATGGGTTTGTTTGGGTTTCTTTAAAATTTGATGCATATCGTCTAAGATTCAGTGGACCAGTTAAATAGCAAATTATTCGTCGCGTTCAACTTTTAAACAGTCCATTGGTCAACCAGTCCTCTGAGAGTTCTCAACGTATTTTTGAAGAACCCAAACAAGCCTTATGTATCGAATTCCAACTCCTGTTTTTTTACTTGTAGTAGCCATCGTTCCAGCTTGCCAACGTTTTCTGTCACTTCCCTTGCTATATACCCACGTATCATTCATAAATATAGGCTTAAAGTTACACAGCTCCATCTTTTTGCTAAAATTTTTCAAAAACGACATTTCTTTCCAATACAACTCTGTTGTTATTTCTTTTAAAGCTAAAGCCTATTTTTTGAATCCATGTATTAATAAGTAACCGTGCAGAACATTTAACATCAGGCATTTTTTTCGAAAATCGTTTATGTAACGATTTAATTGTTACATGTTGCACACCTTCGTACATCTCATAAATAACTTGCCTTAACTTACTTAATATTAAATAATTGACTTTTGTTTTACTTTGACTTACTTTTTTAGACATTCACATATTCTGTATCAGAATATGTTGGTTTACTAAGTCTATAGATAATTTTCTGCGAAATATTTAATGTCTCTGCGGCCATTTGATTGTACCTCTTTCCAAGAGCCTTGCAAATAGATAGTGTCTCTTAAAATAGGATACTACGTTTAGGATTAAAGTTTTTGATTGATCACTAAATCGTTTCACCATTTTGTTGAATACTTATAAAAACTTTTGAAATGTTAAAATATACAAATTTTTAACAAATTGACAAATTCAAAATTATTTTGATAACTGCTACCTGACATAATAACATGATGTAATTAGAGAGTTATTGCAAGTTCACTTAAAGTCAGTCACTATTAGTGCTGCTCTTATTTTGACATCTGAGCATGCGCAGATCACTAACTTTAATAAAGATTGTGCCTGTCCTTAATAATAGAGTTATTGCAAGTTCACTTAAGGTCAGTCACTATTAGTGCCGCTCTTATTTTGACATCTAAGCATGCGCAGATGTTTATGTTCTAAAATTGACTTTATTAAGGATTGTGCCTGTCCTTAATTGTGGATGTTTAAGGGCAGCAGGTAGTGGCGACTTTATAGCTTTCGGATGCGCTCGCCGACATTCGTATCCGTTAGAAGTTTTTTAATATTAAATATTTAATATAATTGTCATTTAAACCTTCTAAAATTATAATTTCTAATGCCTCTTTAATATTACGTACTATTATAGACAACAAAAAAGATGAACTATAATTTAAAGTTATTAAAATAAGGTTAGAAATAAGTATAAGGTTAGAAATAAGTATAAGGTTAGAAATAAGTATAAGGTTAGAAATAAGTATAAGGACGAGGATTCTAATGTCAAAATTTCAGGTTTGCAATAAGTCTGATTTTAACGTGGATTTTATTTGACTCTAATTACGATGTCACTATTAGTGGCTGGCTTTATAGAAATTTGCAATATATCTCTATTAAGGACAGAAGTTAGTGATCTGCGCATACTCAGATGTCAAAATAAGAGCGGCACTAATAGTGACTGACCTTAAGTGAACTTGCAATAACTCTCTATTAATCTATGACGTGCCAAAATCTAGTAACTTTTTGTTTCGTCCATTTTACATTTAAACAATAAAGAAAGCGAATTGAGTTTGCCTATTTACATAGAGATAATGGTTAGGTTAGTTTAAATGTAATTTATTACAGTTTCTTGTCTGATAATCGTGAAAAATCTTAACTTGTTTTTTGTCAACGCATTTTATAGATATATACATATAAATGGAATTATCGTGTATGCCTCCACATGTTCCTCGTTTATCTATATTGAAATTTGTCTGAATAATCTTTTTTTGTATTACATTTTGAGTAATAATTAGAGTAAACTTTAGCTTAATGGTAAATGTATATATTTTGATATAAAAATACAACATATTCAAATGGTTTTGTTACGTTAAACAATAATTGGATAATAAACTAAGCTGGTGCTATATTTTATTTCGGTAAAATTATTTAATCATCAAATGATAGTTTTCATTATTTCACGCACAACGTTCAGATATTACAATTAAAAAATACTCAACATATTTTAATTGTTTTCAATTACCGATGCGATCATATTTATTCAAATTTATACAGACAGTACAAATTATCGAATTTTTGCGAAATCTTCTTTCAATGTAATCCGATTCATGCATCCTGCACAATTCATAAATAAATCAGATTCCAGCTAATGATTTACGATGAACTTTCATCCACTTCCTTTTAGCAAACTAAGTACTTTCTCTTGTTCAAATATAGAATGGATATCCGTCTTATACGTTGGCAAAATATTAGAGAATGTTTATTAATATAATCACAGTTAATCGGTGATTTAATTATTAATCAAATAAACGTTATACAGGGTGAATCGTTGGGAAACGGGCCGGAAAATTAATAAATTTGATTCACTTTAAAACAATACCCTGTGTCATAGAATTTTAAAAATATGTTTGCTTATTTCAAACAAGTAGAAAAAATTAAGTTAAATCACCCAATATCTTGATTGTAAAGAATCAGATATTTATTATTTGTCATTTATCAATAATGACCATAGTCCGCATCTGCCTTCAAAAAGTAGCACGTTGTGATTTTTTGCTTGCTATTTGTAGTTGGGTACAGGGGAGGGGGATGAACAACAAGTAAATTGTCATGTCTATTTTAACATTTCTATTTTTTTTTAAATCCTAGGTTACTTAAAGGCTGAATGGAGTAGAACTACTGAATAAAAATAGCAAGCAAAAAACACGACGTACCACTTGCAGTCAGATGAAGGTCTAAAAACAAATGTGTATAATAAAGGTACTGCAAGAGAACAGCCTCATTCCTTCATTCATTCCAATGACGCCTTCACGTACGTTTGTACTACTACGTATGCGCAACAATTTTGGAGGTGGGGGTAATAAAGAATTTGTTTAAAGTATTGACACATTAAAGACTTCCAGTCATAGTATGGAAATTTGAGGCCCCCTGTAGCAAAGATGTCAGGGGGGACGGTGGTGTCAGGAGGGTTTCGATCCAGTTTAACAGGATGGGAACCTTCCCGACTTGGGCTCAATTACTGTGTGACTTCCAGTCTACTGACACATTTTCTGAGAGTAGCTTCACTAAAAATAACTAAAAATGTCTTCATTGTCAAAAACTGATTACTTGACTCTCTTGAATCCAAATGAAATTAACGCCTTGTCGCCACAGGAAATAACGAAATAATTAAATGAAAAGAACTTTAGTCGCCTGTGTT